TATTCCCGTCTCCAATCTCCCCTCAGGATTTTGGACGCATGCACAAGTGTCAGGGATGATTTATCAAGCCACTGGGTCTGGGACTAGATCTGCGCATCCATGCAGGATCCAGAATCTTAACAGCCATGCCACTACTGACCATGACAATTACATTTTTAATCATGATTGGTGGAAGGTACTAATGACCTTCGGAGGCAGAAGAGTTCATAGAGGATGTATAATAAAGATAAATTCATCACACTGTCAACTTGGTCTCTCAAGAACAGCAAATCAACAGGAAAGTTTTCCTTCCTTCCCATACCAGCGTCCATGAGGGACATCAGCTACTAAGAGGTTGTAGTTATAAGGAAGAAATGTACCTAATGAGCAGATATAGGGAGTTGCAAATATTTCATCTATCATCATCCCTTAAGGAGTACACATTGGGCTGGAAAAGCAACAGTCGACTACATAGAAGTCCAGCGACATAACCATTACACTTACTGCTGGTCCCAGCAATAGGTTTTTGATAGATGGTTTTGATTGTGTTGAGAAATGATCATTCTATGTCACTTTTGCTGAGACTCTTATAGATGAAGGGATATATTTTGTCGAATGCTTTTTCTTCATCTATTGAGTTGATCATGTTTTTTTTTTTTTTTCTTTCTGTTAATATGGTGTATTACATTTATAATTTTTGGTATGTTGATCCCCCCTTGCATCCCTGGAATAAAAGCTACCTGGTCATATTATAATAATCTTTTTAAAATGTTGTTGGCTATTGCTTACTAATATTTGGTTGAGCATTTTTGCATCTATATTCATCAAAGATATTGGTCTATAGTTTTCCCTTCTTGTCATGTCCTTATCTGTTTTGGGATGAGTGTGAGGTAGGCTTCATTACATTTTAACACAAGCTTGGTAAGAGGTGCTAATGAACTTTAGAGGCAGGAGACTTCAGACAGAGTGTGTAATAAAGACTGGATTCATTACACTTTCAACGTGATCCCTTGAGAGCTGTAAGTAAACAGGACATTTTTCCATTCTTCCCAGACCAGTGTCCAAGAGGGAAATCAGGAACTAAGAGGTTGTAGTTATAAGCAGGAAATGCACCTCATGAGCAGATATAGGGAGATGCAAATGTTTCCTCTGTCATTATCCCTCAAGGAAGGCAGCCTTGGCCTGGACAAGTCATGGTTGCTTTTTGTGATATCTCCAGACTGGCTAGGAGACCATGCTTAATTCTTTCCTTGTGTCTTGTTTGGGGACAGAGCTGCAGTCTCCATCAGCAACCGTTCATGGAGAAATTCACCCTTCCACAAGAAGACTGTCCTCTCTGAGATCCCGTAAGGGAGGTTGGAGAACCTGGTAGGTATTGCAGGAACAGTGCAAAGAGAATGGATGCCAAGATACACACCTGTGATCACCCCAGACCAAATCATCCGAGCAAGAGTCGAGATACTGATGTGTTTGGCTACTTGTCTGACCACGTCATTTATCACTAATGTATTTCATATGTTAACAAGCCCTGTGTCTGTCAGACTGAACAATGTAGGTATCATTGAGGACAATTTAGTGATGAAAATAGACTTCCGATTGGACAAGGGTGAAAAAAATGGGAGAAATAAAATGAATTCAATCAATTTAGAACATGTGCACAGGAATTTGTAGTTCAAGAAGTCGGAAAATTGGGATCAGAGTTGTGATGAGATGTGCAGTGACTTTTGGGTCTTTTAAGGAAGTTTTGGAATGAGTATATTTGTGCATATTTCTATAATTTTTGAAAGATCCAGATGAATGGATTGTTTGTAATTCATACTTTGCAACTGTAGTTTATAATACACGCATTACACAGTATCTTCTTTCACATTGCACATTTGCGTTAAAAAATGATTCTTTTCTATTTTTATTTTTAAATTTTTTTGATTATTATTATCATCATAATCTTCTTTATATTACATTGGGTTACATACAATTTTACAGTGTATTACATTGCTTTTTCACAAGGGAATGCCATGCATGTCAGTCAATACAGAGACATTAATCTCCCCACTTCATCATTCAATATCTTTTCTATGCTTTTTCCAATCATTATTATTATTATTCTAATTATTTTTTATACCTGTGGGTGATGACATGTATAGTATTCTCAACTGGATTGGTCTGAGAAGTATTTCATGATGGGTAAAGTCGTTTTACAAGCAAAATGAGAAATAGTGATTGACTGTTTTAAAAAATTATTCTAAGGTTAAAATGAGAATATTAGTTTTATTTTATTTTAATATTACATTTCATCATGCATACCTTTACAGTGTATTACATTTTTTCACTGTACATCATTACAGCATACAAAATGAGATTTTCCATCCAGAGTACACTGTATATTGTCTCAATCAAGCACATCAACATACATGTTATTGTCAACAAATTATTTTCCTTTTCTTATTTCCTATATGTTTTGCTTTTTTCCCCCATCCTTGATACCCTCTCTCTTACCCTCTGCCATCTCCCATTCTCCTTCCCCACTGTCCCACTGTCTCTGGAATCTATGTTTGCTTTCTATACTGTTTTCCTCCCACATTTTATTGAATTACTAAAGATCTTAGTTAATCTAAGTATTTTCATAGCAAACACAGTTGATGTATACATTTCCATGAACAAAAGTCTAACTTTAGACATCCTATAAAGTAGCACCCAGCTGGGGCTATATATCTTACTGCAGTCATCAAATACATGTTTTTTTTCTGAAACTTTTTTTCCTAACTTAATTT